AGTGGTTTCTCCTCCTGTTCCCTCCATAAGTGGTTTTTATAAACACCGTGGATCTAACCCTGCTAATTTACGTCCAATAACTCCAGCTGTTTCTGTAGTTTCTGATTCCTCCACCTCACTCAGCATGGCCCTATTAAATTCCCGCTCTGTTAACAATAAGTCCTTCTTGCTCAATGATCTTATTCTCTCTAAAAACCTGGATTTTCTGTTTCTGACTGAAGTTTGGCAGCAAACATCTGATTATTCTGGTGTGATTGAACTGTGCCCGAGTGGTTATTCTTTTCTTAGCCAGCCCCGGGGTTCTGGTCGTGGTGGAGGCCTAGCTGTTGTTTTCAGAGACCATCTTCCATGTAGCTCTACAACCTCTGGTCACTTTGCTTCCTTTGAACTGCAGCTGATTAAAGTCGGGTGTAAGGACCCATTCTACTGTGCTGTGGTTTATCGTCCACCTGGTCCAAACAGTTCTTTCCTTCAGGAGTTTAGTGACTTTCTATCCTCCACTGTGAAGCTGTCCAGACTGGTGATTGTTGGTGACTTTATCATCCACGATGATGATCCCTCTGATCAGTTTGCCATGAATTTCTCCAGCCTTATGGACTCCTTCAGCTTTACCCAGCATGTTTCTGGCCCTACAGACACCAGGGGGCACACTCTGGACCTTGTTTTTACCCTGAGTCTATATGCTGACAGTGTTTTTCCTGAGGACGTTTATATTTCAGATCACCATTGCATTTTCTTTAACTTGTCAGTTTCTGCGTCCCCACCTCCTGCTCGCCGTATGGTTAGTTCTCGTTGTCTTAATGAGAGCACAGCTAGCAATTTTTCTGCTGCTTTTGATCCACCCTGTTCTTCTGATAACGACCCAGATTCATTAACTTCTCAGTTTAATGAGCACTGCCTCTCCATTCTGAACAATATCTGTCCTGTCATAAAAATGGTAGGAAATTCATTTGAAGGAGCTCAGGATGTGCTGAAGAGGAAACAGATAGAGGAGGAAGAGTAGAGGCCCCAGCACAGAACCTTGTGGGACACCATGGGTAAGAGAGGTGGTGGAGGACCTAAACTTGGAGATGGCCACAGAAAAGGAGCGCTCAGAGAGATAAGAGGAGAACCACTCCAGAGCAGATCCTGATAGGCCTACCCAGTCTCTCAGCCTCTCCAGTAGCAGGTGATGGTCAACAGTGTGAAAGGCTGCAGTCAGGTCCAGCAGGACCAGAACAGAACAGTCCCCTGCATCACTGTGAGTCAGAAGGTCATTAGAGACCCTAAGAAGAGCTGTTTCAGTAGAATGAGCTCTACAAAAACCTGACTATTATAGATGTTCTGTTCATCAAGAGCAGCTGTGAGTTGTTTAGCCACAACCTTTTCCAAGATCTTGGAGATGAACGGAAGTTTAGAGATGGGTCTGAAGCTGCTACGGAGAGGGGGGTCGAGACTCGGTTTTTTAAGAAGCGGGTGGATTACAGCGTTCTTAAAGTAAGTAGGGACCTGACCAGAAACCCGAGAAGCATTAATTATAGAGAGCACGCTGGGACCGATGGACTGAAAAGCACTTTCAAACAAAGATGAGGGTAAGATGTCGTGGGGGCATGCAGAGGTCTTCATAGAGTTAACTAGTTTGGTTAACTCAGGCAAAGAAACAGGAGCAAAGCTATCTAGGATGATGGGCCTGGTTGGAGTCGGGAGAGGCAGCGATAAGGCTGAAGGAGAGATGCTAGATCTAACCTTATTGACTTTGCCCACAAAGAAAGACAGAAAGTTCTCACAGTCTGTAACAGAGTGGATGGAGGCTGTAGGAGTGGCAGGAGAGACGATGCTGCTGATGGTGTTAAACTGCACCTTGGGGTTCCCTTTGCTCTGGGACATGAGGTTGGAGAAATAGGAAACCATTGCGTCTCTGACTGCAGAGTTGAAGGATGTCAGAAGATCCTTTAGGTGCAGCAGATGGACGTGGAGATGGGTTTTCTTCCACAAACGCTCAATTTTTCTGCATTGGTGCTTCAGGCTGCGAAGGCTGTCATTAAACCAGGGAGTAGGGTTCACTGCAGGAACTGATCTGGTTCTGACAGGACAGATGTTGTCCAGAATGGAGAGGCAGTGCTCATTAAACTGAGAAGTTAAGGAATCTGGGTCGTTATCAGAAGAACAGGGTGGATCAAAAGCAGCAGAAAACACAGTAGAACGGGTCCTTACGCCCGACTTTAATCAGCTGCAGTTCAAAGGAAGCAAAGCGACCAGAGGTTGTAGAGCTACATGGAAGATGGTCTCTGAAAACAACAGCTAGGCCTCCACCTCGACCAGAACTCCAGGGCTGGCTAAGAAAAGAATAACCACTTGGGCAGAGTTCAATCAGACCAGAATAATCAGATGTTTGCTGCCAAACTTCAGTCAGAAACAGAAAATCCAGGTTTTTAGAGATAATTAGATCATTGAGCAGGAAGGACTTATTGTTAACAGAGTGGGTATTTAATAGAGCCATGCTGAGTGAGGTGGAGGAATCAGAAACTACAGAAACAGCTGGAGTTATTGGACGTAAATTAGCAGGGTTAGATCCACGGTGTTTATAAAAACCACTTATGGGGGGAACAGGAGGAGAAACCACTGAGGAATGAGGATAAACCGACCTTAAAAAACTTGGACGGATGAACCGCGTCCCAACGCGGCCTGGCGGAAATGCGTTGCGTCTGTCTCTGTTTGCTAGGTGCACAGCTGATTCTGCATTTTTTTCTGGAAACTGGAAACTGAAATTCACTAAAATGGATCTAGTCAGTTGGTCTCTCAATACGATTGATAAAAATTTTTTTTAACGATGAGAACGGGAGAAGGGGCTCCCGGATGCCCCTCCGAGACAGACCCAGTTGGACACATCATGGACTCCTGGAAACAGTGGAACTTGATTTGTTTATCTCAGCTGTCTGTGGAGGACTCTGAAGACGTGTGGATATTCGTGGTGTTGGTGTCAGGTTTCCTGCTCATTGGCCTTGGAGGCTACCTGGCTTACTGTAAAATTAACGAGCTGTCGAGGAATACTGGCCTGGTTCCTGAGCTCAGAGATGGTTTGCACCGCGCTGTGAATTCACAGACTCACATAATTGTCGAGATGAATCGTAAGCTTGGGACTTTGGCGGAGATTCATTCTTTGGCACTAAAGATGGATGCCATCAAGGAGAGAGTGGACAAATCAGCACGGATTGGGATAGATTAATGTCCATTATTGGGATTTTGAGCGGTTGAAGACCAACAAACTGTAAGACAGAGAGGAAATTATCTCTGTCTGGCCCCAAAACAATTTCTAATTGGAATCTGGCGTCCTTGAGCCTGCAAGGCTCCAACGAAAACTCCCCCCTCAGAAGACATGTGGAATGTTCCGTCGCTATGGCAACTCAACTCTGTGTCCTTTCCCAGCCTGGGCGGGACTGCGGGAAGGCCGCTGAAACGTTCCAGGGTCACTGCAACCCTCCAACCCTCAATGCTCCTCCCCCTATCCACACTGAGGTGACTTGTGCTGCTTATCGTGGCTGCAGGAACTGAAGTGGGATTATCTCTGTCTGGCCCCAAAACAATTTCTAATTGGAATCTGGCGTCCTTGAGCCTGCAAGGCTCCAACGAAAACTCCCCCCTCAGAAGACATGTGGAATGTTCCGTCGCTATGGCAACTCAACTCTGTGTCCTTTCCCAGCCTGGGCGGGACTGCGGGAAGGCCGCTGAAACGTTCCAGGGTCACTGCAACCCTCCAACCCTCAATGCTCCTCCCCCTATCCACACTGAGGTGACTTGTGCTGCTTATCGTGGCTGCAGGAACTGAAGTGGGGATAGTCCCAACCCACCACCCCCACCTAGTGGACACTTGTGTTGTCTGAAGTCTGTTGCATATCTGTCTGAGGTGTTTTTTTGCAGAGCAAAGCTACCCTCCCCAGTTACCCTGTGGAGGGTAACTCTGAAGTGCCTTTTTTTCCCTCCACCTGAACCAATCCTCATGTAACCCCTCTTATCTCTATGAAGGTAGCGCGACTCGGGTTGCGAATGACCACAGTCACCAATTCTTGTCATGTGTCTTGCCCATGTATGTCTGATCTCTGAATTGTGTGTACTGAAACTCTAATTTCCCTCTGGGATTAATAAAGAATTGATTGATTGATTTGAATGAAGATTCACTTGTTTAAGCTGGCTTTTGTATGACCTTCTTCACCACTCTCTCTTTATTCTGCTCTCCCCACCTATTCCACCTTCCTCAGGATCCACTGATTTCCCTCTTTCCTATTCACTCTCTCTCTTTCTTAACATTTTTTAATCACAATTGTCTATTTTTTGCTCATTTTAAATATATTTTTAACCATTTTCTAAATTATTTTTATATTTTTACATTTTCTATTTTTGTGAAGCACCTCGTGATTTTTATCTTGAGAAGCGCTATAGAAATGATATTTTCTTCTTCTTCCACCACACAGCAGAACTCCTCCAGGCTTGTGTTATTTGTGGGGATAAAACATCAACTTTGCAGAGCAGACAGAATCAGTGGTAGAGTTATGTTGCTGTTAGCCAATCAGAGGAGAGATGTCCAAATAACAGGAAATAAGACTCCAAATCCTGCCGTATGAAACTAGTTTCTCCTCTAGCTAAATTATCTGTGCTGAACCAGGAACACTGGAGCTTTTCCCCAGAGTACGACTTACAAGGCATTCGTTCCTACTAGAGACCTCTGCAGATGTATAAAAATATGAGTAAACGACCTCTTTAAGTTTCTATTCTGATAATTCTTTATGTTTTAGTCAGTAGCTTCATTCATGGAAGTTTCTCTCGTACAGGATGAGGGAGTATTGGTCTTTATGTTGTGTGTGTGTGCGCGTGTGTGCGTGCGTGTGTGTGTGCGTGTGTGCGCGTGTGTGTGTGTGTGCGTGTGCGTGTTTGTGCGCGTGTGTGCGTGTGTGTGTGTGCGCGCGCGCGTGTGTGTGTGTGTGCGCGTGTGTGTGTGCATGTGTGTGTGTGTGTGTGCGTGTTTGTGCGTGTGTGTTTGCGTGTGTGTGTGTGCGCGCGCGCAATTTCTGGGGTCTCGCATTTAATGTGTAACTTGAGAAGCTGATAACAAGGAGAGAATGAGGAGTGAGCTTTTGGTTTCTCCAGCTCTCTGGGAAATTCGCTCCATATCTTTTTCCTCATTTCTCCAAACTCGTGTGTCTCCCCTCTTTGGGAGGAGGGTGAAAATTGTCTGAACAAGAGGGAGGAGGAAGCCCGGGCAGCCAGACTTTGCTGCTTATTCAGCTCTGACTGCTGCACTGTGCCGGCTCCAGTTGTGGGATGTTAACATTTCACTTCTCCCCACTCTCACGTTAGGACTTTTTAGGCATTTTTATGCTCGTTTTCCCCGGAGGAGGGCTAAGGCTGTGGGAGATACTCTCCAGCTTTGTTGGTCTGGATCTCACACACGCTTTTCCTTTCTAACACACACACGCTGTCAGTGCTGTGGCTCGGCGCTGCACCAGGAGTGGATTTAGATTCACCCATCTGATCGGAGCACCGAGGAGGTGTAGGGAGGTAGGAGAAGGACGATGCAGCACTAAAATGGAGAAAACCAAAGACTGAAGGCAACACGTTTACACACACTCATCAAAAAGGATGGCTACAGCGGTATTTCAGGTGAGGACTGGGATTTACTCTGTGTGTACCTCCAGATGTTACAGATGTGTTTTGGGGTCCTATCCCTGTGTAAAAAAAGTGATGTCCTGTTTAAAGTTGCTGCATAGGATGCATCAGGATTGTTCCAGTGAGCATCAGGATCACATCTGTATGTGTGCAGGATAGAAAAATTAATAAATGAGCAAAAATATCAAACTTTTTGTTTTGCTTTAATGTCATTTTGATTGGATTTAGTGAGTGGAGCCTTCTGTGTGTGTGGTCCCTGTTGCTCGACATGTGAAATGATCAGGAATGATTTCTTAATACATTTTCAGCTTATTGTTGCTCAGAAAGCCCAGAAAGCATTTCTAGTCATTACGTCATTTCTGAAGATTGTGCAAGTCTTGGCGGGTGTGAGGGTAATCTCAGCCTGTGGTGAGTCTGCAGCCGTGAACTCGGTTGCAGCGTTTGTCTACAGGACCTTGCAGAATTAGTTTCACAGAAAGCATCGCCCCCAGTGTCACAACGTCCTGACTGCACTCGGGGAATGTTTGGCTCCTGGAGGGAACTGCAGCTGACTCCTCTTCGCTCCGTATTTGGAGAAAAAAAATGTGTGAAACATGACTTACAGTATGTTGCCCAGGCCAGCTGTGCACAAACAGCTGTCAGCTCGGTCTGTGGGAGAATAGATGTGTAATGGATTTAATGGACAGAGCTGCCAAACACAGTGTGTGTGTGTGTGTGCGTGCGTCCGTGAGTGTGTGTGTGTGCGTGTGTGTGCGTGTGTGCGTGCGTGCGTGTGTGTGTGTGCGTGCGTGTGTGTGTGTGCGTGTGTGCGTGCGTCCGTGTGTGTGTGTGCGTGCGTGTGTGTGTGTGCGTGCGTGCGTGTGTGTGTGTGTGTGCGTCCGTGTGTGTGCGTGTGTGCGTGCGTGCGTGCGTGCGTGTGTGTGTGTGTGCGTGCGTGCGTGTGTGTGTGTGTGTGTGATCGAGCAGCAGAGTCATGAATCTGAACAAGGTAAATGAAGATGGTTTCTGCAATGCTGCTGAGAAGTTCCAGTTAAAGAGTGAACCTTGTGCTCCTCCAGCTCAAAGTTTCCAGATGACTAATGTCATCACAGAGCAGAGGACAGCTGGGCTGCAGCCCAGCTACTGAACATGCAGAGAAAACAATTTCCAATCAAGTCTTTCCAAGTGCAAAATGGCTGTATTAGTTTGTTAAATGGTAAAATGGCCTGTATTTGATATAGCGCCTTCTAGAGTCCTGGAACCCCCCAAGGTGCTTTACAACACAATCAGTCATTCACCCATTCACACACACATTCACACACTGGTGGGGATGAGCTACGATGTAGCCACAGCTGCCCTGGGGCGTACTGACAGAGGCGAGGCTGCCGAGCACTGGCGCCGCCGGTCCCTCCGACCACCACCAGCAGGCAACGTGGGTTATGTGTCTTGCCCATGGACACAACGACAGCGACAGACTGAGCAGGGCTCGAACTTGCAACCTTCCGATTACGGGGCGAGCACTTAACTCCTGTGCCACCGTCAGTTTGTTTCTCCTGTTGTTGAATTAGGAGATGATTGAAGATAACTGGATTACATTTTTGAGCTGATTTATTCTTACCAAAGGTTATAATCCTGGTTTAAACCATAACAGGATACTTGCAATATCTGAGTTCAGAAACCCTGAGACCTTCTGTCCAGGTGACAAACACCTTCCTGACACCTGCACAGGTCATCATTCGGTCATGGATGAGGAACAGGCCACTTCCTGTTCAGTTTGTGAAGATTTTCCATTTAAGGAACTGAATTTCATTCATTCATACAAAATGATTATTTGAAAAAAAAAACTATTTATGTTTTGATAATTTATTGTTTTGTTGTTTTAGCTGTAGCTAACGCCTATCTGTGAAATCAACCTGAATCAGTTGAGTGTAAAGTTGTGATTTCACACCTCACACACAACGCTAAGTAGGCTTGGATCTGACGAAATGCAAAATTAAAACAGTTTTTCTTCACATTAGATGGACAAACTTTAAAATAATCAGAGGAAAGTTGAACAAAGCTCAGATTCTCATTCTCCTGTGAATCTCTCTGGTCAGAAATGGAAGGGCATTATGGGATGGCGTGTGTGCTGAGTGACTGTGTGGGTTTCTGGAATGAACTGGATCATTAAAACAAACCAGCAGCACGAATTCTCCGCTGATGCAATCCTTCCTCAGAGAGGGTGTGTGTGTTTGTGTGTGTGTGTGTGTGTGTGTGTGTGTGTGTGTGTGTGTGTGTTCTTTACAGACCCAGTTTATTATAAAACAGCGTTTTGTCTGTTGACTTTAGCCTTTTCTCATTAAAACTGCTCGGCACCGGTTTAAAGACTTATTTGTTTAATTGAAGAAAGTCCTGCATCTTTTAAAGTCACTCTGTGTTCCGTTCAAACACGAAGCACTCTGGTTTAACTGACACAGAATATTTTACCTACAGCAACACTAAATGCTCAGCAGAGCTGTGACGCACGTACGCCCGTGCCTTTATTCTCTTTGCCCTCTGGGCTGGATGTTGGCCGCCTGCAGCGGATCAGACACATAAATAATCTGCAGCAGTGCCAGCACGCCCTGCCTCCACCTGGGCTTTTAGTTTAATTAATAGCATCCAGTAAAAGCTCCACATTCATCAGAGGCTTCATATAAAGTTTCACTTAAAGCAGTTATTTATCGGGTTGTGTGAGAAAAGGCTCCGATTGGCCAATGGAAGGTGTTAAAAGCCCACAAACCAGTCTGGTTGGGGTCTGGGGTGGTGGGTTGCTGTGCTCAGCGTTGGGCGGGGGAGCCTGCTCATCAGCACCCCAGCAGAAAGGGTCGAACTCTGGTTACCAGTGATGGTTGTACCCCATGTGCAGCAGTACCGGGACCAGAGTGAATAGGGTGTGTATGGGGAGCATGAGTGGGTATCTGGCGTGCATTTTTGTGAGTCTTAGGTTGTATGTGCATGTGTGAGCATGAGGGAGGGAGTGTGTGACTGTGTTTGTCTATGACTGTATATGTCAGGTGGGGCCTTTGACTCCTCCCCTCTCCTGGGACTTCTTTTGATGATATAGATCTTCGTCGCCCCTCCCCCTGCCACACCTGGCGTGGAGTGCGGTGCCTTGGTCTGCCTGAGTGTTCGTGGCTCCCGGGTCAGGGGGTTTAAGATTTTTGGTGTCTGCCTGATCAATCCCGGTGGCTGCCTGGTGGGATCCGGGTCCCTGGGCTCTGCTGGGTTCCGGGCTCGGCCGGCTAGGGGGTGGGAGGTTGGGGGCAGGCCTGTGGGCTTGCCGCTGATATCTCCCGGGACTCAGCCGGCTGCTGGTTGTGGCCCCCCGGGGAGATCCTCTGCTCCTCTCGAGGGGGCAGAGGCTTTTCTGGTCGCAGTCTCCTTGGGGTCCCTGTGCTCTGGGGCAGCACCTGAATCTCTGAGTCTTGGAGCTCCTTCCTTCTCCTACACATCTTTGGGGGGCAGATCTGTGGTCCCTCACACTCTATTGCAGTGGTTCCTAACCTGGGGGTCCCGACCCCCACAAGGGGGCGCCAAAACCTCTCAGTGGGTCGCCAGGACCTCTCCACTTTAAGGGGTTAAAACTTCATTTATTACTTGTTTATAGCCTACATTTTGCTCACATTCTTTTCATGAGTGAAAAGTTTACTGATATTAAGACAGGAAGTAATTAGTACAGTAAAAGTAACACACTTTTAAGAACATTTTGCTCAGCTCACTGTTTTATTTTCAAGTGTCAAAAGTTCATTAAAGATAGGACTGGTTGATTAATCACAGCCGTTACAGTAAATAATCTAGTATAAACAGTAATATACACATTTAAGTACATTTTGCTCAGTGTATTTTTTATGTGTCAAACATTTATTGAAAGGAATGATTGATTTATCAGTGTTTACAAGAAACAATGTGTTCAGAAAAGTAATACAAACTGTCAAGCACATTATGCTCTGTTTGGTTTTGTTAATGACTTTGTTCTGTGCTGGAGCCTACTATTACTGTTATCTATTGAATCAAAGCATATTAAAATGTGCTTGAACAATTTTATCATTTCTTAATAATGTTTGTACTGGAAGAGAGAATGGGAGGGGGTCGTCAAAAATTTTACTGTTATAAAACGGGGTCCCTTGGGAAAAAGTTTGGGAACCACTGCTCTATTGGACGCTCCTATAGAGAAACCTTACATGGGTAGACACACAGGTGCTCACATCATGGACTTGGGCACGTTCAACACATATCATCTGTGGTTGCCACCAAATGCACTGTGATGTATTATCGTGTGATTGTTCAGTAAAACAATGTTGATTTTATATTTCCTCATCAGGTTGACGCAGTGATAGCTTGCTCCTGTTGTATTGTTGTGTGTCCCTTTTCTGCAGGTCTAGAAGCAGACCCCTGTTCATCGTTGATTGTTTATTTTTGTGGAACCCCCCATCTGCTATTGTGTGATTTATACCTTATTTGTTATTTATTGTTGAACCTTCATTTCCACACCTACAGTATCGGAGAGGTAGTCTGACCTATGGGTGATGCAAACCTGAGACCATCTGTCAGGTTTGTGACAGAAGCTCCACTTTCATTCGCTGAAGTAGACTCCTAGATGTTTGTTTTCTCTTTTGTTTATGTTGTTGGAACAATTCCTTCATTCATTGTCTCAACCACTTATTCCTCAGTGGGGTCATGGGGAGCTGGTGTCCATCTCCAGTGGTCACCGGGTGAGAGGTGCAGGTGGTGGACGGGACAGGTCTTTGGTCCATCAAACAAACACTCACACACACCTAGGGGTGCTTTAGTCTCCAGTTAACCTGACATGCTATTGGTCGGTGGGAGGAAGTTGCTGGAGAAAAGCCACATGTGCATGCTAACTCCACACAGAAAGGCTGCAGCTGGGATTTGAACCTACAACCTTCTTCCTGCAGGTAACTGCTCTGCTATGCAGCTCTGCTTAAAAAACCCAACCCCCCGTTTCAGACAAAAATGCAGACGGCAGTGGCTTC